TATTGCTAAGTTTGATATCAGAACCGGAGTTAAGGTATATAAACTTGTGAAGCAACTAAGCTTGATAATTGTGGCGGAACTACGTTATTAAACTTAGGGAAAACATTCGATCAAAGCAACACAAGCAGACAACTTGGTTGTTAAGATTAATGAATTTTTCTAGATCTTAAGGTTGCCATTAGATTAAATCATTAGTGCGGACACTGTGATTATTTGTTGGTTAGGGCTAGTTATACGGCGGATCCGTTAATTAACCAAAGTTAAGAAAAGATAAAAATTCAGAATATAAACTGGAGTTTCGTTTTAAGGATCAGTTTTGATTTCTGTAGGTGGATGTGTGCTTGTGACCAAGGTTTGTTTTCTTGATAAATTTTAGTTTTAATTGATCGTGTTCACTAGTTTAATTTCTTCCATATTTTAGATTATCACAAATCAAAACCCCCCAATTGCATAACGTATAGCATAAAAATCTGAACTAAATCTTCCTCGTGGGATCGATCCCTTGCTTGCTCTATACTATCTTGTGTGATTTAAGCTAGGGTAATTAATTTGTGCGACCGCGACATCGCAACAAACATGAATAACCTCTACAGTCTAGGTTTGATCGGGAAGTATCTAAGTTTTTTATATGCCACTAGAGTCTTTCCCCTACCAATTCTAGGTTTGTAACGGGAATTCCTGCATGTCATACACTCGGTCATCTAAGCATTTTCAAGGTAGTATAACATGCAGAAGTTAGGGCACATGTTAATTTTATGGTATCCTAAACTGAGGGGTTTTATCATGGACTTCGCAGCATAGAAGTTCTCTTTCAGCCTGTTCTCTTCAGGTAAAATGCTTCTTGCCCATTCAATAATCTTGTCATACCCAGCCTCACTCATCTCGTGCTCTGACTTTATGGTGAACACCTATGCTACGACCGATAATTTACTATGGTTCGTGCAACCATCCTATAATGGTTCATTAGAATCTTTCAACAAATCAAAAAACCTAGCTGCATCTACATTAGGTTCTTCTACGATTGGACATTGATTGACATTACCTTGATTTATTCTCATTGCATCCATAACCATATTTCTGTAAGGATTAGTGTTGTCATTCTTGTTGCTAGCACTAGAAGTAGACCCAACCACCGTTTCGTCCATTCTCCTCTCACTAACATATACTTCTCCATGTGCATACCAACACTGATAATTCTCCATAAACCCTTTGTGTAGAAGATGTATCATTACAACATTTGGATGCAAATACTTTTTATTTTGACACTTCCTACATGGACACCTAATATCGCTTCTAGTAAAATTTCTAGGAATAGATGTTGTGAAATTAATAAAACCTGAACTCTGTTACAAGAATCCATCCTCCGCAATCCTTGGGGTGGATCTCGATACATCCATGAATGATCATCCATGATTTATATCGAACCTCTATAAAATTATGATGACATCATGTATTAATTAACTAAGTTAGGTAAATAAACTTGCAAAAATATTACTTTACCTCGAGATTATCCAACAAACGAATCACAACTTCTCATAAATATTAAAAATTCATTATCATTTATCAACGTTCATACAAATTAAAATAAATAAATTTACAAAGAAATTACCACTCCGCAATTCCATTAACAAAACTTTAAATGGACCCAATAAGTAAGCTATTAATTATTTCAAAACAGCATATGTACTTCTGTAGTTCCATAAAGTTTTAACAATTTACAAACAAATACAATCTTACAAAATCTAAAACAAACAATAACAGGTATAGAATTATACATTCATATACTACAAGTTTGTTTGACAAATAACAATAAAACATGTACATTTACTAACAAAATACATATACTAAAAAAACAATAAAATTGACATTTAATTAAATGTTAAGATTTAAAAAGAAAGAATTACTTACAAAAATTGATAAAATCTATCGGTAAATCAGAACACGGATGCTATGACCATAAAACTTCAAGAAATATAATTTGATTTGCTGATATAAGGGAGATTTTTGTTTGGGGGGGATGGGTGGCTGGTTGCAGTTGGGGAGAGTTGGCATTAGGAAAAAGAAGGAGAAATAAGGGAGGAGAGGGTCGGCAGGTGAACATATATTAACTTTTCCCGACGGTTTTACCGACGGATTTTCCATCGGTGAAATCGTCAATGATTCTGACGGTACAATCGACACGTCACTGTACGGATCTGCCATTTCAAATCCGTCGGTGAATCTATCGGCAATATAAACGGCGGTTGTTGTACGGCTTGTCTTTTTGAATCCGTCTAAAAAAATAACTCGTCAAAACCTCCACATCAGTGACCTTTTTTTTTTATGACGGTGACGTTTCCGTCTGTAATTTAGTCAGTAACTACCAATAGAAATTTTTTATCGGTAGTTCCCGACTGAATTACAAACGGAATATAACTGTTGGTAATTTTAATCTTAAATTAATGACAGAAATATTCCGTTAGTAAATCCATTGCTATTTAGCGAATTTCTGATAATTTTAGTAACGTCTGAGCTCTGTTGGTTCTAGAGATGCAATGATCTCCGTACTGATTTTTTTCCTTCTCTATGTCCTTGCTTCGTTTTGTGTGGGATTTCCCGGTACTCGGTCCCAAAACTTCTGAACATTTGTTTGGATTTGATCCCAAATAAAATTTTTCTTTTGAAGCTACCGATCTTTGTATATTATCATGCCATCTGTTACAGCCCAGTTTGTCATATGCCTGTAGTGACCTGATGCTTTTTGCTGGTTTGTCTTTTCCTCCAAGTCCTTGCTATTTCTTCTGCTGAAGTTTTTACTGATATCTTGACTTCTTTTAGTGATTTACAAGTACTGAAGTTTACTGCTTCCCATTTATTCCCTTTGTTTATGTATAGTGGACATGTTTACTGGCTAACATTTTTCTTTAGGGAGAACATCGATGATCTTTAAAATTTACAAGTTAAATCCTTAATGGAAAATATATTCAAAGACACAGAATCAATTCTAGTTCCTTATGAGATTGTTATTTGCTGGGGTTAATGTCATCATCTTACTGCACAGAATTTTTCGTTTTGAATTAGAAAGCGTGAAAGAGAACCTCAAAACTTGAATATGGAATAGATTGTGATATTGAATTATGGCATCATAGATAGGTTACACTATTCGATATTGACTCGTGAGCACTGAGCCGTTCATGCATGGTGATTCTGTTTGTGATGTTACTCTTTTTTTCCGGAATGATATGGACGACTGCTGTATGCACATTTTTAATGCTTTTCCAGATGCAATGCAAATAGAGGAAATTCCTAGAGCAATGTTGATGCAAGCATGTAAGAAAGTCTCAGCTCAATCAATGAGCTTGCAACTCTGTTGAAATTCGGGCAAAGCAAATGAGTTGAGCTCCCAAGTTCGAGTCCCAGCTTTAACAATCCATTGCTAATTTGGTGTCCTTAGCTGTCGAAGTCGTCTATAGTTCTAGACGCAAAACAAAGAAAATACTCCGAACATTGCCTAATCGTATCTCTCCAAACAGAAAACAGGAAAGGTTACATGATGAAGTGGCTCAAAAACCGTCAATGTGATTACTGTTTCCAAACAAAATTTAGTTTTTTCTTCAAAGTCTTTCTAAAGGATTATGTTAGGCCAGACAGTGTACTCCAGCCCAGATCCCCTTGATCGTCGCGGATAATTTGGTACATCATGTGTCGTTTTCTTTTGCAAATCCTAATGTGATCCAGCGTCCCGTTTTTTACCTCTTGAAACAGAAAAAAAAGTTATTCATCGAAAAAACTAAATTAGCAGAAGGCTCAATCCTGAGCTCAGAAAACAACATTGAAAAGATAGCAAATAGGCTAAACTAAGAAAACACCAGCGTAAATTCCTCCAGCTTTCTCATTAATTTCAAATCAAAATTAATTTTGATTTTATTTCATTTATTATTATTCAGCAATCCTATAGCTTGATGGAACCACAACAGATTATGAACGTTAGGATTATGTTCAATATGATAAAAAGGAATTAACATTAAAAGCTGCAGCCATTGCTGGTTCCATCGAGCTACAGGATTTCTGAATAAGTAATTGACTAAAGAATGGGTGCTTCATGGGCGACAACTTATAAGAGCGGAAATCCAAGAAAAAGTTGATACCTGTTTATGTTTATTAATTGAATCTTTGTGCCTTTGGAAGGCTTCCATTGAGTAATTCAATATAAAAAATTGGGTATTTATAAAGAAGAAGAAGAAGGAGATTGGTGTGACTTCAACAAGATCTGTTCAAATGGATATCTAGGAGGCATTTGACAACCATTTTCAGCCTTGTTTATTGTCTAGGAAGCCAGTCGGTTACTAAAAAAGTATTCAATCAATGATACTTTGAAGACAAATGCACTCTCCATGGTTCATATTATGCTACACTTGGAAAAATGTGCAGTCTGTTCCGTACAGATTGTATGGCTCTAACCATCTTCAGGAAGTAATGGTAAATACTTCGTACTCTAACTTATGGTTTTTTTGCAATTAACGGGTTTGTTTTTCTTGTTTTGTAGTTACTTTGCGGCGTAAGGTTTTCAACTGTTTTGAGGTAAGATAAGTTGCTATTTCGATAATGTAATTTCTAATTTATGAAAAAAAGGTTGGAATGGAGTGGAAGTTCATGCAACCCTTTGTCACCATCAGCACAAAGCGCTCATGCTTTGCATCTCACACAATTCAGGCACCTGTACATGCACCGAAATGCTTGATTTTGAGCCCTCAGAAAGAAACAAAAGCAATTCATCCTTATATTAAGGATAGCATGGATGTGTGGAAGTTCATGAACTTAGTACGTAGTTAACAAAAACAGAGTAATCCTCTCAGGATAAATTAAGAATAGAGCCATGGGTCTTATCATTTTCTGCTGCTTGAGAAAAAAGAAAAGTGAAAAAAAAGGTGGTGGTAGTAGTGGTAGCGGCAACTTATCTAAATTTTCAGCTGCATGACAATGATCCATGTCCTATATATGTCAGTGAGAAACTACTTATTCTAAATCCAAATAGCACCGGCTTGTATAAGCAATGGGACTAGCTGGTTCTGGACGTGGAGGCTCATCACCTGCCTTTCATTACCAACCAGCCGTTGGCCTATGAACACAGCAGGTACGCTCTGTCCAAACCCCAGCTGCACTAGTGCCCTTTCAATTTGTTGTCCATTTGGAATCCTGTCGAGCTCATAAACTGTTGGATTTGCTCCAAATCCACGTATAAGCGACTTGATGGAGTGGCTCATGCAGCAAGAACTCTTGCTGAAAATCACCACTGGCTTTTCTTGTATCATCACATCTAACACATCCATTTAATGTCACAGAGCGTTCAAAGAGTTGGTGTGGTTATTGAGAGGCTTTAGAAGGTGTGTGGGGTGGGTGTATTAATGAAGTTTGTTGAGAGTCTGAAAGGCTTCGCTATGAGGAGCTTGAGCACCTTTGCAGGTTATTTATAATGTTCTTTTATAATTGTTAATTTGCTTGCAGTTTCCTGCAGGATAGAACATAAGAGACTGACGGAAAACTAGTAAGAAGATGTGTTCATAGATTCCCCATTTGCCTAAATTTTTGAATTGCAATTCGCATACGATCGAGAAAAATGTGGTTTTCTGTGCTCTGACGAGGACTTGCATGACGCTTTTTTTTTTTTTTTTTTAAAAAAAAAGACAATTAAATTGTGCCTCATCCACTTGGGGACGGATGTCGTCTCTATAAAGCAAGAAAAGGCTACGGATTTCGTCGTCTTAACTCTAAGAAAATGACGAAACAAGTCGTTTCTTAAACAAACGAAATGGGAAAGTGATCGGCTTAAAAAAAAAGTGCAACCATTTAAAATACTGTTTATTTAAAAAAAGATAACTATTTATTCAATCAAGACATAAAAAATTATCTTGTAATATCTCAATAGCATGTCTAATATGCTGTCCAAACATAAATAACTTGTCATATACTACTATACTAAATGGAAACTTTGTTGACAAAAATAAAGCATTAGGCAGAACTCTTTTTTAGAGTCAAGGAAATAACTACGAATAACCATCAACTTGTGATAGAAGAATGAGACTTATTATGGCTTATTATTGGACATGCAATGCATTACAGCTGAATAATCATTAAGCTCTCTAGCACTCCATTTGACTAGATTCGGCAATTCATTAAAAACATCTATATTGAAATCCTATGAAATTATATATTCTATTAAATGCATAAAATTCTATTTTCTTAACCCACTTCAATTCCTTTCATTAAAAAATGAATCTAGATAAATAAGATAAAAAAAAATAATATGTGAAATCTTCAAAAAAAAATTCCTTTTTCACTTTATCCATCCCATAGATACAAAGAATCAATACTTAACCTCCTCTTTTTTATTAGAACCGATATTATTATATTCTAATTTTTTTTCGATACTAGGAAAATCATAAATTGTATCCTAAAGTGGCAAGTTAGTGTAAGTTTATTCATGTGTATATGTATTCTTTGAATAAAATTTTATTTTCTAAAAGATTTTAACTTTTATATTTTGATAAATCTTTAAATCTTTTTATCGATTTAAGTTGTGTTGACAGCATATCTAAATAATTGGATTGATGGTATAAATCAAGAAAAGTACATAAAAAAGATTTTTTTAATTATTATTGGGTTATTGTGTTAGATTAGTATTAATTAGTAGTTCTCTTATTTCCATATAAAGGAAATGCTAAGCATTAAAACTCAATTTAATTCCTATTATGATAGATTAATTATCTTTCATAAAAGTCGGATGTGAATCGTTTTCGAAAGACATTCTATATCCATTGAAACTATTCCAGAACACACGACAATGCTTTGTACTAATTAATTATAATTTTATAATGCATGGCATGGATAAATACTATTTACTTACTTTTAAAATGCGGTTGTAATTTTAAGGATTGTACTATTGATTAAATAGATTTCTTTCATTTCTTGACTTTTTGGGTTTATATTTAAAGACATGTTTGAAAAAATTATTAAGTTTTTTTGAATGTGACATGCCAATGTGGAGAACATGCCGTTAAGATCGTCCAAGTTGAGGCTTGATCATAGTTATTGCGCAAGCTAATTTGAGAATATATATATTTATATTAGTGAAGGATTATGGAATAAAAAATAAATTCACTTAGTTTCAGACTCGATCTCTTTGGTTTGGACAAGAAGATGAAAAAATAAAAAATTGTATAAAAAATTATGTAAAATAAATTCAACACAAGATTACTTTATCTCTTTTTACTTTTCATATAAATTGGAAACTTAAAAAAATAAAAAAAATAAATATCATTGAAATATTTTTTCATTAACCAATTAGAATCAGCTCCAAGATTTATAATTGCCTAAAAAATTGACCTTTTAAACAACAGTCAAGAAAAACCTATGAAAATTGAACATTTTTGCATCAAAGATGTAAATCATAAAAAAAATAATTAGATTTTCAAGTATGAATTTTTCTTGTTCTAGTATATCTTATTTTTACCATGAAAGTTTTTTTTTTTGGTTAATTGAATTTATTGATTATATATAATTTTATTAAGATATTATATGAAAATATTAATTCTCATTCTTTTTTAGCTCATAATTAAAGGATTTTTGGTTGATTGAATTTAAAGTTTTTTTTTTAATATATGTTGACTATATTTTATATCAATTTGTATCCAGAATATGACATATTAATAACTCAATTAAAATACAATAATTTTCAAGAAAATAATGTTTATTATGGCTAACATTTTTAATTGGAATTATATTCAAAAACTAAAATAAATATTAATTTTTTTAAATAACATTTTTATCTCAGCTTTCGAATGAATAGTAGATTGAAATCAATATATTTATTATTATTTATTAATATTTATAATTCTTGATTTATTAATTAAATATATATAAAAACTTTTTAATTTACAATTAAAATTATAAAAAAATATTAACAACGCGCACATTTTTATTTTGCATGGAGAAACAAAGAAGCTTCATCCCGCAGTGGCATCTAAACCATTTTAAGATATAAAAGTTTTTAGCATTCGTTTACCATCCAAAGCTTTTAGATCACACAATCATTATTTTTTTTTTAATATAACAGAAGAGTTTGAATTCAAGATTTATTGAAAAAGAGTGGATATTAATTCCTGATGAAACATAATTAATTCATTGGTATCATTTGATTTTGTTGAAGTGTAAAAGAACCTCCATCGAAAGAAAGAGCCGGTAGGAACATAATATATATAATTGAGTGGAAAGTGATAGTACTATAAGCAGAGTAACTATTTCGATCGTGCAATTAAATCCACACCGGACAATCAAGGTTATTGTGGTTTGATCAATAACCACAAGTTAAATTAAACTTGATTGGATCAGTATCCAAGTTAGGTTTAATTATAGCGTTAACTGAAAAAGAGGAGAAAAAGTGGGCATCCATACGAAACAAAACCCAGACAAATTTCAAACCCTCCTTAACCTAGTGCTAAGCTTTTTTTATTAAAAAAAAAAAAAGAGAGTGGGAAGTCCACAGAATAGAACTTTATGTTATTGGCTTCTCATGCCGGAGCCTCCGGATTCTTATTATGTTTTGATGGTGTTTAAAAAAATAAAAGTTTTTTTTTTATTTTTTTGTTTTAAAATATTAGTTTTATATATTTATAGATTGTTTTGGTATATTGGTATTAAAAATATTTTAAAAAATAAAAAATATATAATTTCAATATATTTTCAAGGAAAATATATTTTGAAAAGTAATTGCTCTATCAATATAAAGCAAGCTCTTAATAAAGTCTAATAATGATTTTGTTTATCAATCTAATTGCTTATGTGTATTTTTATATATTTTTTTGTTTCAATATATAGTATTACTTTTATAAAAATTGTGATAATGTTTTTTGTTTCAAAACCCTTGAGTAGTCTTATGTCTATTTTGAGCATTTGTTTAGGTGGATAAAGAATGGATTGGGTTTTGTCCTCTTGAATTGGACACTTTCCTTCACAGCAACATCCCCACTTTATCAATTTGAAGAAAAGGAAGGATTGAAAAGAAAAGATGCTGTCGTGAAGACAGCCTGCCCTCGATATATAGCACGGTTGCAAAACAAAAACAATGGAGGGATTCGCATATACTAGAAGGAGAATGAGGGAGACACCGAGTAGAGCCACCACAACCAAATTCTACACCTTGGATGGAGCGGAATGATAAACTCACAAAAACATTTTGGTTACAAACCAGAAGGACGTCAGTGGTAGTCCTCATGCTATTCTTGATAGGGTACTCTGCTTTAAATTTAGCTAGCCATGACTGGTCGGTCTCCCGAGTCAATGGAACCTTTTGTGCTTTTAAGTTAAATGGTAATTGCGAGGACTCAGTGGGCAGCTATAATTAATTGCTTGATTATTTAGTACAATTTATCAGAAAGACACGTTGAAACAACTTTTACTTTCTAGGTGCCGATTAATAATATGAGATGCTGTCGGGAAATTTGAACGGTGAGGGTTTTGCTAAGTGAAAAATTTATTTACGTGGTTGAAACGGAATTTCAATTGCATAGCCAAACCAAGCCTAGACGCCGCATTATACTAGCTTTTCTTTAAACTGTTACAAATTAACCATAAACACAGAGATAATTTGCAGGTTCATGAGATATACTGATTCTCCACATCGCCACTGTGATGTCGGTTAATATTGTGCTTAACATATTTTAAAAATTCATGGACAAACGGATGATCGAAAATTAATATTCTCCATGTGAAATTGAAAAGAAATACCTTGAGAATTCAAGCACATGACATGCATCTCTATTTACAAAGAGTACAATTCAATCAATGTCACTTTTTCTTTATTGGTTTGCACGATTGCATCTCCTCCTCTTCTTTTCCTAGTGTCACGAAAATTGACAGAAAGTGTACAGGATCCGCTTGCATAACATGGCTTGATCATGAAATAAAGCGAAAGGCTACATTGGCAGGGTGGCTTGAATATGTTTTTCCTTCACTCTGTGCTACCGAGTATTCATTATTATTCTATTAACCTAGAGGTGATGCATGCTATGCAGACATAATTATTGAGCCCTGCGATCAATCTTTATTAATAACAAGCTTCGTTGCAGCGTACATCTCACGGGCTGGTTAGGATTGATTTGGGTAGAATTAGAAAAATGTATCTTATTCTAATATTTTACTATGGTAATATTAAAAATATATATACAAAAATCATTTTAAAATATCATACCTATAAGGGGTCGCTACGTGTTTGTTTTTAATAATAAAAAATAACTATTGTACTTACATACTAAAAATTTACCTAAACTAATAT